AGTTCTGTGGACTTGTGTGATTCTTCCTGTTCCGGAATGCCAATAATTCTTGAGTTATTCCTCTTCATGTTGTCTAACATTGAATCTTGACTGTCTTCAGATTTTTTTGTTCTTTTTCTGCTTGCTCTTCTATCTTAGCAGTATTGAGAGAGATGTCTTCCAGCTCACTAGTTCTGGCTTCCATCTCTTCAGTTCTACTCCTTTGCCCTTTCAGTGTATTGTCAATTTCTGATATTTTATTATTAATTATTTGGACCTCTTTTTTTTCAGGCTTTTAATTGTTTCCAATTCTGTATCTCTCTTATTTGATTGTTCCTCTAGCACTTTACTGACTTCTTCCTTATTTTTCTCAAACCCTCTGAAGTGTTTGGATACATCGCAGTATCATTTTCCTGAATTCCTTTTCATGCATTTCGATAGCCTGCTCTCCTCCCAATGTGATGTCTAAATCTGTCTCCTCCTCATTTATCCCAGTCATTCTATCTTGTTTCTGGACATATGCTGTTTCTTGGGCATTTTCAGTAGTTAGCTGTGACCACAAAACTTAGATAAATGTATGTTGATGTTTTTATTATGCTTTCTGATTGCCTCCAGGTAGATGTGGTCAGGAGATAGGCTAACCTTTTCACTCTTCTTATTACTCAACTCAGAGTAACTTTAGCAGGCAGGTGTTGGCTGTCTAGCTGGTGTATAGCAGCTGGTATTGGCTTCTGCCTGGATGGTGGGATTTTATAGGGTATGATTGTAGCTTGACTATATGACCACAATTGCTATCTCTTCTTGGGTAATGTAGGGAGGGAAGGTAAAACGGGGACCAAAAAACAAAACAGCAACAGCCAAAAAAAAAAAAAAACCCAGATTGTATACTATAGTCTATAATTGCAGAAAAGAGAAATGACTAAATAAATAAATAAATAAATTTTGTAGCAAAATATGAGTGTGAATTTAACACCCCGTCTCAGCTTCTTGCCTTCAAGGCTGCCTGAGAAATTTCAAGAAGTCACTGTTGGTCCTTATGATGTAACTCAGGATTTAATTTTCAGCCTGTTTCATTTTTAGTCTGTCTCTCTCCCACTCCACAATCTCTGTTCAGGCCTTTTACCTAGTGAGTAACAGATCAGGGCCAGCTGTATCCATTTTGTGCTGCCATTTTGTTTTAAGTGGAACCTTCCCCTTAGATACTGCTGAGCAGATCTGTGTGCATGTGTAGTAGCACATCTCTGGGGATGGAGAGGTGTTCACTCACTCAGGCACCCCTTCTAGTTGGCAGAATGGAAGTGTGCAGACAGTGAGAGTCCAATGAACAGAGAAAAGAAAAAGAAATAAAGAAACCAGAGAGAGACTGTCCACATCTTTATCTCAGAGGATGTCAGGAGTCAGCCGTGACTCTAATCCTTCCCCTGCTCTGTCTCGCCCAAGATGGCTGCTCTGGGAGCCACTGGGGCTGGCTGATCAAAAGACACCAGTTTTCTTGCTTCAGCTACAAATTCCATTGGCTATAAGCCTTCAAACTTTCTAAATATTCCTTTATATGTAGTTCAGAGTTTAGGGACCGTCCCCTGAACCTACTTTGTCCAGTATTCTGTGTTATTGCTGCCAGAGGTTTGCACTTGACTTTTCCCTAATCTGCCATTAAGCCCTGCCTCCTCCCAGTAAGACATTTGTTTTTAAATGAACAGAAATGTTTTCTAAGTGATTAGGAAATTATTCTATAAAGATTCCAAGGCGTTTCAGTCCTTCACTTTTATTTTTTAAATGCATGAATGGAGAGGATCAGTGCTTTGCCTTCTTTCCCTACTTGCCTTTAACTGATTTGTGAATTTATCTTGTTATAATCATACAGGTGGTCAGAAAACACAGACAAAAAGTGGACCAGTTATTCTAGCAGATGAAATTAAAAATCCTGCAATGGAAAAATTAGAACTCGTTAGAAAATGGAGTCTAAACACCTACAAGGTTTGTAAGTTTTAAAATATGCCTTGCCTAAATGTATATTACCCAAATTATTATAATTAATCTAAGCAGGATTGGGCCTGGTTAGTACTTAGATGGGAGACTGCCTAGGAATGGTGGGTGCTGTAGGTTTAAATGGAGTCCTGGTGTGGCACTGTAGGTTAAAGCACTGGACTGCAAAGTCAGTTTGAATTGCAAGGTAGACGGTTCAAGCTCACCAACTGCTCCTAGGAAACCCTATACATCGTCATTCTGGGTCAAAACTGACAAGACAGCACTTAACAACAACAATGCCACTTAAACATGGCACTTCAATTAAAGAATAAAGTGCTTTGTTTTATGATTTTAGTAGCTTGTAAAATTTGAAATTTATTCTTTATGTCCCATAGATTTTGGTATGTTGTGTTTTTATTCTCATTTGGTTCAAGGAATTTTTTTTTTTAGTTTTCTATTTTTTATACAAGAAGAGGAAAGGTGGCTGAAGAATAATGAAGATAGGTGAAAACACAGGGAGGTGTGCATGGGCTAAAGGGGAGGAAGGTAAATAGTGATACATACACAACTTTGGAAGAACAGTGTTCTGTGCAAAGATAGGCTGAATGAGTAAGTGGGATATATATGTTTATATATAATTGCAGGTTTGAATATTTAAGGTTTGCAGTTCAAGTTCACCAGCTGCTCCTCGGAAACCCTATACAGATTTCCTATGAGTAGGAACCGACTCAACGGCACTTACCAACAAAAACATATAAATGTGGTGGAACATACAGTGGGCAAATGATGAACACTTCCTAGAAATATATCCAAAGTCCTAAGGCAATGAGTTTATCTGCCTGGGGCTTCAGGACCATAGTTCAGGAGACACCATGGTCAAGTGGCATAGCGTAATCCACAAAGACAGTGTTCTACATCCTGCTTGGGTGACTAGCATTGGGCAACTTGAAAGCCCCTTGTTATTGTTAAGTTCCATCGAGTCAGTTCCAATCTATGCAACCCTGTATAGGGTTTCCAAGGAGCAGCTGGTGATCTTGAACTGCTGACTTGTAGCTCAAATGACTTTGCAGTCCAGTGCATTAACCCACAGCGCCAGTGGCTGTCTAAGGTGCAGCTATTGGTCTTGCGATGTATGAGAGAATGAAGAGTGATTAGAATTGAAGAGGCTTGGAATCAGTTATTTCAGTGGACTAATGGAACCTATAAACATCAATCTCCAGAACTCTTGAGACCAGAAGAACTAGACAGTGCCCAGCTACCACTATCAACTGCCCTGAACAGGATCACATTACACAGTCCCAGATAAAGTGGGAAAAAATGTGGAACAGAACTTTAAATTATTGTTAAAAACAAGATTGGGTTTATTGGTCATGAAGAGACTGAAGTAACATGAGACTATGGCTCTTGACCACCCTTCAGGTCTAGAATGGAGCTCATCCTCATGGCCCAATTTTCAACAAGCAGTGGATAGGTTTATAGTAGGGAACAACAGCACTGGTGAGGAGTGTTCACCATGGAACAGTCAATCATTCAAAAGCAAAAGGGTAACATTTTTGTAGGGAACTAGTTGAGAAGGGGTAAGGAAGGTGAGTGGGATGTAAATGGGAACTACAGGCAGAAAACAGGATGACTGGTGTTGCATGGAGGGGAGTGTAATTATTGACATGAAACACATGTATGATTTGTTGAATGTAAAGCTGATGATCTTGTCTGCAAACCTTCATGCAATTCACAATAAAAAATTTAAAAAAAGCTCTCTTATAAATTCATGACTTGGTATCATGGTGATTTATTGTATTGTGTACATTCCCTCCCCCAGGTTGAAAATCCAGTGGACAATTAGCTTCATCCTACTCTTTTAAGCTTCGTAGGTCCTTGTTGTTAGGTACCACTTTTAGACAATTTTGGACTCATAGCAACACTATATGACAGAGTAGAACTACACCATAGGGTTTTCTAAGCTCTACGCTTTATGACCACCACTCGTCTGTCAGTTTGTCATACTGTTGCAGCTTGTGTATTGCTGTAATGCAGATGGCTATGCTACTGCTATTTTAGATGCCACCATAATCTCCCATGGTGGGTATGTTTCAGTGGAGCTTCCAGAATAAGACAGAGTAGGATGAAGGAGAAGCAAAACACTTCTCAATTGTTCACAACAAAAAACCATATGAGGAGCTCTGGTACCATAGTGGTTATAAATCAGGCTGCTAACCTCAAGATCGAAAGTTCGAAACTACCAGCCGTTCTGTGGGAGAAAGATGAGGCTTTCTGCTACTGTAAAGATTTACAGCCTCAGAAACCCTGTGCAGGGTCACTATGAATCAGAACCGGCTCCACGGTACTTAACAACAACAACAAAAACCTTATGAATAAGAGCAGAACATTATCAGATACAGTGCTGAAAAGTAAGCTCCTCAGGTTGAAAGGCACTCAAAATATGTCTGGTGAAGAGCTACCTTCTCAAAGTAGAGTGTTGACCTTAATGATCTGGATGTAGCAAAGCTTTTAGGACCTTCATTTATTTGCTGATGGGAAGAAAACTCAAAATGATAAGAAACAGCGGCAAACATCCATTAATAATCAGAACCTGGAATGTATGAAATATGAGTCTAGGAAAATTGAAGCTGTCAAAAATGAAATGAAATACATAAACATCAATATCCTAGGCATTAGTGAAGTGGACTGGTATTGGCCATTTTGAATCCAACAATCATATAGTTTACTATGCCAAGATTGACAGATTGAAGAGGAATGGCATCACATTATCAAAAAGAGTATTTCAAGGTCTATCTTTAGAGTACAATGCTGTCTGTGATAGAATAGTATCCATACACCCACAAAGAAGACTGGTTAATTCCTATGAGTATGTTCAAATTTATGCACCAACCACTAACGCTGGTGATAATGAAATTGAAGCATTCTACTAACTACTTCAGCCTGAATTTGAACAAACTTGAAATTAAGATGTATTTATAATTACTGGTGATTGGAATGAATTCTGGGAACAAAAATGAAGTATCAATAGAAAATACGGCTTTGGTGATAGAAACAGTGCTAAAGATAGCATGACAGAATTTTGCAAGACAAATGACGTATTCATTGCAAATACCCTTTTCAACAAAATAAACGTGGACTCTCCACATGGACCTCACCAAATGTAATGCACAGGAATCAAATTGATTACATCTGTTGGAAGCGCAATATCATCAGCCAAACCAAAGCCTGGAGCCATGTATAGTTTTGTTGTTGTTAAGTGCCATTGAGTCAGTTCTGACTCATAGTGACACTGTATAGGATTTCCAAATAGTGAGTTGGTGAATTTGAACCAATGACATTACAGTTCAAACCGATCGTTTGGTACAGTGCTTATTCTACAGTGCCACACCAACTGTATCAACTGTGGTACAGACCATCAGTTGCTCATATGCAAGTTCAAGCTGAAGAAAATGAAATCAATTCCTTAAGAGCCAAATTATGACCTTGAATATATCCCACCTGAATTTAGAGATCATCTCAAGAACAAATTTGATGCATTAGATACCAATAACCAAAGACCAGAAGAGTTGTGGGGTGATAACAAGAACATCATACATGGATATATCAAAAGGTTATTTAAAACATAGAAAAGGAAGAAACGATCAAAATGGATGTCAGAATTGAATCAGAAATTTGCTCTTGAACATAGAGAAGCTAAAGCACCTGGGAAAAAACAAACTAAAAGAACTGACCAGAACACCTCAATGGGCAGCTTGAGAGAAGACAGAGTCAAGTATTATAAAGTAACGTGCACAGACCTGGAGTTACGAAACTAAAAGATTTTCTCAAGCTGAAAGAACTAAAGGAAAAATTAAAGCTTCAGGTTGCAATATTAAAGGGTTTTTTGGATAAAATGAAGAGCAGCGCCTAGACTAGCAGGCAGCGGCCTTCACGGCTTCAGTCCAACACATGGAGGTGGAGTTGTCGACCCAGATCGGCTACCCTCACCCAGGGCCAGTTTCTTCCTTTAAAAGAGCTGATCGAAGGCAATCTTTCATTAGATTGCAGCTTATGAGTCACCGATGGAGAAGCGCCAAAGAAGGGGTGTGCAAAAACTGTTGAAGCCAAAGATGCCTACATCCTGAGAAAAGGTGGCCACAGGGTAGCCTCACGAGGGCCGTAGCTAGTCTTCAAGGAAGGACTGTCAGATGGTCCTGAAACGAGTGGACTATGCCTGCCTAAAGCTCAATGATGTAGCCCACACCTGTGAGCAGAAGCTGGAAAACTAGGCCCAGAAGGTGAAGCACAAGCTTGGAAGGAGACCACTAGCTACATCCAGGACAGAAATTGGAGACTTGAAGAGTTGGGACTCTTTCCATAAGTCTAGAGTCCTCAGCTGCTCTATCTCTCTATGTCATCATGTCTGCCTCCATCTCTGGTGTCACTGCTTCTTTGGATAGGGTTCCACATTCCTGTCATGCTCTCCTCCCTTGATGGTCCTAGGGTC